TTTGAATGTGGTTTTGAGCTGCACTTTTCCCTCATGATCCCCGGCCCTAGGAAGGTCTGGCTGTTCTCAGCTAGGGCCAGGGCCTTTTCGGTCCTGGCCCTGCCCTGGTGGAACTCTCTGCCGAACAACATCAGGGCCCTGTGGGATCTGATGCAATTCCGCAGGGCCTGTAAGGCAGAGATGTTCTGCCAGGCTTTTAGTTGAGGGCAGCAATGGTTAAGACTGGCACCCTTCCTTTCTTCCCATGTCCCCTTCCCTGCCCTGCTGTGCAGACAGTACTGCAGCCGGCAAAAGGGGTTGATATCGCCATCTGGACTGGTCATTTTATTAGTGCATTGTAATAATTTTACTTATGCTGATTATATTTTATCTGTTTTTAAGGTTGTAAATTGCCCAGAGCCTGCTTGTGGGGTCAGGCAATTCATAAATTTAATAAATAACAACAATAATAAATGAGTGTTGAGAAAAGGTGGAATGAATGCTAGATGCAGAATCACTCCCTGTCAGGTTTCTGCCTACACTGAGTTGAGTACTGACAGTCTGATTTCAGCCTTAGCTGAGAGCAGAACACAGATCGGGGGGGGGAGTTGGCAAGGAATGTTGGGAAGTAGGCGAAGATACCCATTTGGGCCAAGGAAAGGGGATAGATCTTCTAGAGAGAGAGGAAAATCCCCTACCCAGTCAAATAAGGAATCAGCTCTGAAGAGTGCAAAGATCCCTGGTCTGGTGTGGTTAGAAACTGCCTTTAGAGACCTTAGCAATGCTCCCTCTAAGCTGTGGAGTCTTCTGAGCAAAAATTCTACTTTGTGAGCTACTGGCATTAAAGTTGTGAGCGAGTGATTTGGCTACTGCATAGATTAGTTTGCTCTGGAGCCATCCTTCCTAAGACAAAAATGTGTGAGCTAGAGACTAAAAAACTGTGAGCTAGCTCACACTAACTCAGCTTAGAGGGAACACTGCTTAAGAGTCCACCTCATCACACGCGAGAGGTGGAATTTGCCCCTACGAGTCCAAGGCCACCACCCCTGGGTTCAGGGAGGCAAGGGAACATTTCGCCCCACCCCCTGCTGGCGACGCAGCTGCCGCCACAACGGCAGCCATAACTTTTTAAAGAGCCCCTCCCAAGAGGGACCCTCCCCTCTTCATGTCCTACACTGGACAGGCAGCTCCCTGTCAGGTGTAGGAGAGGAGGTGGGATGCTTACAGCAGCCGGGGAGGTTTGCTCAGCAGGATTGCCTTAGCACTGCTGCTGGCCCAGCCTCCCTGATGCCTTTAAATACAATCCCCCCCAACACCAGACAGGCCGGTGTCTGTCAGGTGTAGGAGCAGGGCCAGGGTCACACCTCTCACCTCTTACTGCCCCCAAGAAAGCTCCTGGCAAATGTCAAGTTAGATACACCAATGCTACAAGGAGGAGGCAACTTAGGAATGCAGCAAAGACATTTGCACATAGTACTCCTGCAGTGCACTGAGCTGCACAGGCCAAGTACCAGCAAGATCACCCTGAGCAAAACAATCCAGGAACACAAGTAGAGAGGCCATCACTTTTGTGGAAGGTGGCAGGAGTTGACTTAACAGGCGACTGCTTCTTAAATGGGTAGTTCTATGTGGCCTGCCCCAGAGTGAGCTCACAAAGCAGCCTGGTGATCCTAGCACCTGAGGGCAGAACCACCCATGTGGTCTAGAGAGAGGTCCTTCAGTAGAGAGAGAAAAAAGTACGTATGTCTCACTTCATTTCTTACTCTACAATCTTCTCCGTTAGAATTCCTACAACAAATGTCACATTTCAAATTTCACACCATCAGTATTATAACTGGATTTACGGAACTTAAATACCGTAGCAAAGCACGGGTAGCAGGCTAGTACAGAATAAAAATGATCATGAATTCCATAAATATAGGGCCACAACAAAGAATACTCCATCAGTTGTGAAAGACAATCTAGCTGCTGATGGTTGTGACATACTAGGCTACAGTGGACCAGGCTGTACGGAGCTTTAAAAGACAGAACCAGTACCTTAAGATTAGTCTGAAAACAAATGGCAAAGTGGAGTTCCTGTGTTAGTGCTTCTCCCCAGTTTGGTTATCACATTCTGAACCAATTCAGGTCTTTGAATTGGCTTCACTGATTGTTTCACAATGATCGAATTGCAGTGGTCTTGCAGGGAGGCCACAGGGTAGACAGAACAACTGGCCTCCCTTCCCTCTTCCAGGAAGAGGCACAGCTTGTATGGCAACAAAATGATGATGATGATGATGATGATGATGATGATGATGATGATGATAATTTGATTTACACCCCGCTCTCCCTGCCGAGGCGGGCTCAGCGCAGCTTACAACCATTCATAAAATACAATTAAATACAGTAAAATAGAATAAAACCTATCATAGGCTTATAAATTACTTAAAATAACAATCATTTAAAACATAAATACATAAAATGCTGGAACATACTCAAGCAACAAGTGCAGCAGTTCTTATATACATAGTTTAGGTGCCTGTTGGATGGCAATACTTTCACACCAGGACAGTTCTCATTTATTATGTGGTGAGCACAGGCTAGGAACCTTGATGGTAGGACCCAGGTTACAGGCTGGAAAGCCAGGGCACAGGGACACTCCCTGGTGCGTAATGTGGCTCTTTAGTCAAATGCCTGGTGGAAGAGCTCCATCTTGCAGGCCGTGCGGAACTCTAAGAGGTCCCGCAGGGCCCTGATCTCTACTGACAAAACATGTTCCTCACCACAGCCTCCTACTAGGAACCTATGGGAAGATCTGGGCCAAGGAACACTCTCAAGATATGGACCTCTACTGTCAGGAACAATGCCATCCTCCTATCTAGGACTCAAAGTTCTTCATTTGTCTGCCTTTAGGGACCTCCTACAGTTAGTAACTCTATTTTGTCTGGTTTAAGTTTCATTTATTCATCCTCATTATCAGACTCAGGCAGACAGACATTCAAGGACATTGTTCTTGGCTCAGATAGAAAAGAAAAAGAGCCCTGGACCTCAGTCAGAACTTCAGAGTGTGTCTCCTCTAGCAACCTGATATTTCTTCCATCCAGTATCATTGTAACTGCTGCCAGCATATTCCACGAAAGTGCCAGGATGGTGGTCCAGATTTCTTAAGCTGGTCATTGATTGGCCACATTGTTTTTCTGTGTAAAACAGGAAAGAAACAGCCAGGAAGAGGAGTACAAGCACAAACAACTTTGGAAACATGTGTGAGTGAACCAACTGGAGAGATACTCAACAGTCCTGCCCACAGTGATGTCTTGGCAAGAAAATAAAATTGCGGAGGCAGAAAAGTGTGCATATAGTGGGCATCTGTGAGCATCATTTTGAAGTAGGGGCTTCAAAGAGAGGTTCTTTGCATTTGTTTTTTGAAACTTCAGCGCACACACAGAGTCATATTATGAAGTATTTCTGTTGTAGCTGTTTCAAAAATACAGGCTCATGGTTCTATTTGGAATCTTTGACCTCTCAAGCATCTTCTAGATGCTCTTGAAAGTGACAAGGTATGCCTCTGATCGACAGCCCTTTGTCATTTTTAGCTGAAGTCCTCCAACAGATTACTCTGGAGCAGTCACACTAAAGTTAGGAGGAATAATTTGCCTCTGTCAGCCTTTGTTGCATCAACTACCAAGCACATTTAATAGGGTCATGAAAGCTTTTTTAAGATGCTGGACTAAGGCTTCAGTCCATATTTGAGCACCCTTAGCAATCATGAGCTGTGGTGGCTCAAGTGGTTAAGATGCGGAACCGCAGGCTGTGGAAGGTCAGTAGTTCAGCAGTACGAGACCTGAGTTGCCGCATGACGGAGTGAGCTCCCGTCTCTAGTTCCAGCTCCTGCCAACCTAGCAGTTCGAAAGCAAGAAATTGCAAGTAGATAAATAGGTACCACTTCGGTGGGAAGGTAACAGCGTTCCGTGCGCCTTGGTGTTTAGTCATGCCGGCCACATGACCACGGAAACGTCTTCGGACAGTGCTGGCTCTTAGGCTTTGAAACGGAGATGAGCACTGCAACCCTAGAGTCGGACTCGACTGGCTTTCAGCAAGGGAACCTTTTCCTTTACCATTTTTATCAATCATAAGAACATAAGAGGCGCCAATGTTGGATCAGGCCAAAGGCCCATCCAGTCCAACACTTTGTCACACAGTAGCCAAAAATACCAGGTGCTATCAGGAGGTCCACCAGTGAGGCCAGGACACTAGAAGCCCTCCCACAATCAATATTGTGTGTCCTTGAGTGAATACTTGTCCTCTACTAAAGAACTAGAGAAATGGTCATTTATTTCAGCTCAGAGCCAGCAAAATGCTTTGTGTGCCTCTTTTGTTGCAAGCTCTGGAGGAGACCCACAAAACTCAGGAGCACCCAGGACCCTTCAGTTTCTTCCATATTGTTCTAGTTTCGCATTGAGATGCACACATTCATGCATCCAGTACATACATTTGCCTCGCCTGGGCTATGCAGGGGAATGCCCTTGTAATCTGACGCCCAGGAAGCAAAAGGGGGAAGAAACTTCATCTCAACGGATGAGGAAAACTCCAATTAATCTTTAACAAGATAGGATGGTCCGATGGGATAATAGTGGCGTGATCCGGCACATCCACGCCCAACAGATTTGGGGAAGCACTTGAAGATGCAAAGGGGTAGGAATGGGTGGGAGAAGAGTGGGAGCCCGGGGTGTGTGTGGTGTGTATGTGTGGTGTGTGTGCGCGCTCGCGCGAGTGTGCAAGCGAGGGAGAAGCGAAGGCGATGCTATTGCCGCTCGCTCATCCTGCGCTCTGTAGCACTCGTGCAACCGCTGGAAGCGCAGCTGGCCGGCCGGCCGGATCGGCGCAGGGTCTCCAGCCGCCGCCGCGGCGCAGGCGAGGACGGGAGCTCCTCTCTCCGGAGGTCCAGCGGCTCCTGTCAGCCTCCGCGGCACCGCTTCGCCGGCCTCCAGGCTCCCCGCCGCGGCGGACCCGCACCTTCCCGGGGCGGGCGGCTTCGGGGCGGGATGGGCAGCTGGTCCGGCGCTCCGCTGCTGCTCCTGGCCGCGCTCGCCGCCTTGGCTCCGGCCGCCGCCAGCCCGCGCGAGATCCCGGCCGCCGACGACCTGCTCTTCGCCGCTTTCTACACGAGCCCCAAGGTGAGCGGGGGCGGCGGGGGCGGCCGGACTGTTCTTTCTGCCTTGTGCTCGGACGGAGGGACGGAGCCCGCTGCTGCTCCTGCGGCTGCTGCTTTCCGGCAGGATCGCGAGACAGGCGGCCAGTCGCTCGTCCGAACTGACTCACGGCGAACTCGTGTTGAGACTGGAAACCCGCCTTCTGTTGCTTGCGGGGGGTGATGGGGGTGGCAGGACGGGAGCCAGCGGGGAAAGAGAGAGCCTCCTCCGCGCAAAAGTGGCTGGGACTGCCTTTGGCGCTCGGCTGGGGCAATGCCGGGGGGGAGGGTGACAGTCGCCCGGCGGAAAGTCCAGGGCACGGGGCGGACGGCGGCGGACGGCGGCTTGGAAAGCAGGGAGCGAGCGAGCGAGAGGCCGATCCTGGGCAGCCGCGCCAGCCAGGAGCAGCAAAACCAAGCAGGCATTAATCAGATCCCTTTGAAAGACTAACCAAATGTATTCCTTCCAGCATATCCGCTCATGAACCAGATGCTGTCCCTGACTCGAGACGGCGGATTCTGGATGGGGCACACGTTCCGTTAGGCTTCTCGGTGCCCCTGGAGCGAGTCCTCTTCCACCAAGCGGGCGAGGGAGCAGCGGGAGGTGGGGGTGGCGGTGGGGTGGCGGTCTTCGGTCTTGTCAGGCACCCGCCGGTTCGCTAAGCTCCAGTGCGGAGCGGAGGAGCTGTGACGAGTCCGCTGCCGCGAGGAAGACTGTCTGGGAAGGTGCCGGAGGGCGCTGCTGCCTTCGCTATCATCGCCTCTCCTGTTCCAGGGCAGGGCAGCAGCCTTCACAACAGGTTCCAGGGTCAGCAGCACTGACATGCATTCAACCTCAGTGGCCCTAGGGCTTTACGGGGTTGCATCCCCCCCCCTTGAGTAAAGAGATGCTCATAGGTCATCCATGCTTTGGGATTGCAACCACATTCAGGAACATTGAGGAGTGCAGATTTGAAAAGCACTGCAGGGTGGACCCAAACGCAACCTGAGGACTTATCATCATGGAAGTAACCATGTGGAAGGCCCAGGCAAAGAAGTTTTTTTTTGTTGCCCAAAGATCCCCCCACCTTTAGAGTCCTTGTGGATTTCAGTGTTTTCATTTTGTTTAATCTTTAGGCTGCTTGTAGTCCTTGCTTATTCTGTGGATTGGATGCATTCAGCACTACTGCTGACCCAGCCTCCCTGATGCCTTTAAATATACTCCCCCCGCAACACCACACAGGTGGGTGTCCGTCAGGTGTAGATTACTATTCCCTTGTATACCTACACTGTGTTCCTCTTTGGTTGGTGTAGGAGCAGGGCCAGAGTACTTTAATCCATCAGGGAGGCCACCCAAGCAGAAACATCAGCAATGCTGCTGGACCAGCCTCCCCAATGGCTTTAGACACACTCCCACCCACCCCTCCTCCACCTGACAGGCAGTTGTCTGTCACATGCAGGAACAGGGGCAGAGTGTTGAAAGCCATTGGAGAGGCTGCCCAAGCAGCATCACTTTAGCAATCCAGCTGGCCCAGCCTCCCCATGCCTTCAGACACAATATGCCTCCTACACCTGACAGACGAACTGCTTGTCAAGGGTTGGAAGGGGCACAGAGTCCTTAAAGCGAGGAGTCCTTAAAGCGATCAGGGAGGCTTGCTCAGTAGGATTGCCTTAGCACGGCTGCTGGCCCAGCCTCCCTAATGCCTTTAAACACAATCTCCCCCATCAACAAATCCCAAGGCCAGACACTGAAGGTGGCAGGAATTGACTTAACGGATGACTGCTTTTCACATGGAGAGTTCTATGTGGCCTGCTCCAGAGTGAGCTCACCAAGCAGCCTGATGACCCTAGCACCTGAGGGCAGAACCACCAATGTGGTCGACAGAGGGGTCCTTCAGTAGAGAAAAAAACTAGTACGTATGTCTCAGTTCATTTTTTACACTACAGTCTTTTCCATTAGAATTCCTACAACAAATGTTATATTTAAAACTTCACATTATCAGTATTATAACTGGATTTATGGAACTTAAATACTGTAGCAAAGCACAGGTATCAGGCTAGTAATAATATAAAATGCATAACCAGGTTGATACAATAGGTATGCACACTGATTGGGCAATTCCCCTAAATACTAATATCTAAATTTTCCGTTCACTCAATCGCATCTGGGGATAGTTCAAAGAGCTCTGTCACGTCTCCATGGAAAGCACAATACTCACATTCCTGTGACAGATGGAAAATAGTTCGGTGGGCTGCACTGCAATCGCATTTGGGTCCTGGTATTTTGCCCCATTTAAACAACAGGTCTGCACAACTATCAAAGCCTGTTCGTATTCTGATAGCCATCTTCCATACTTTACATAGCAATACTAGCTCACCTCCTCATGGTGCACCTTGGATAATGCTAAAGAGCTAGAACTTGTGGCTGCCAGACAATCATAGGAACTCCTGGTTACACTACACACATGGAAACAGCAAGTATAGAATTCTATGTATGGGCTAGAGAACAGTCTTGCCTTGTACATATTTTAAGGATAGTGGAATGTCATCTAGGCCAGTGTGTCCTGTTGGTGACACACACAGTTTTATAAGTCAGCAAAGTTTGATCGCTCCTCCTCGTTTTCCTGCCTTTTTCTACATGTTTAAACCCAGGATGCATGGCGTTTGCCTGGACAGTATATTGTGGTGCTTAAAGAGGAAGGCCTTAAACTCCAAGCATCACAAACCGCCAAGCGTCTGCAAGCCAGAGCAGCCAAGCGTGGCTACCTAACCAAAATCCTACATATCTTTGAGGAGTTATTCCAGGGCTTTGTTGTGAAGATGAGCAGAGATCTGCTGCAGATGGTAAGTGACTCTTTCCAAGTGTTTTTTATATCCCCCCCCCCCCAGATGTCTAGGCTGTTTCTCAGCCATAACTATTATAAAGATTAGCAAAACATATAGCATAAAATACAATAAAATGAAAATAACCAATAAAAACAAAGCACAACTTTTTTATGTTCACCTACTGGGACATTTTGTTTCTAAGACCATAATGTTGTGCAATGGCTTAGTGTCGTCATTGTTTACTATGTATGATGCCATCAGTGTATATAACACTTTATAGAATACAAGGTATGACTGCAGGAAATCTCATGGCTCAGCTACAAGGCTTACTTTGGGGACAGGGAGGGCACAGGCAACCTCACAGGATTGTTGTAAGGGTATAATGCTGCTCTAAGCTCTTTGGAGAAAAGGCAAGTACCCCAATGAGCAATAAAGACCTTCTGTTTTTTTCTGTAGGATACGAGCACAAGGTGTTCATGATGGCCTTTGCTCTTTTGTTCTTGAGTAATTTGAAAAGGGCATCAACCCAGGGAAGTGTAAACTATTTTATCAGATCTTTACTGATAGTATTTTTGGAATCACTGATCATTGATGGTTCTAAAAAAATTCAGATAACGTACGTGCCATTTGGCAACTTGAAAGTGATGCAAGTTTTATTTGGGAAAAAGATGCTGCTGGTTATGCAAACTTTTGCTAATGTAAAAAATGTATGTAAGAACATTACGAAATGAAAATGATGCCACCTTTTTTTTGGGGGGGGAGGGGGGAATGATAAAACAGAAACAGCAAATGATTTCAGGTATAAATTAATCTTGGGGACTGCCTAAAAGCACTGCTGAGATTTTACATCGTAAGTCACATGTTCAAATAGGAACAGGTACAAATACAAGCATCTAAAATCTAAATGTATTGCAGCTTTGACAATGAAAATTTACCATCAACAGTAGGAAGGTGAGAGAGGAGACTCATGGACACACACATGCACGGAGATGAATGAAAGGAGACAGAAAACTGGGGGGGGGGCAGGAAAAATCAGTTCATGTGAGATTCTTGGGAAGGTAGAGGAACAGGAGAAAAAGTAGAGTTGGGAGTTAGAATCTTGGGAACAAGATGAATTAATTGATCTACGGGTCAGAATCCAGATTACCCAGTTCAAGCTACAGATAAGAATTACCCACTCCACTCATAGATCTTGTGGTTCCAAACTTGCTTCTTATTGAGGTGGTAAACCTCTGTCTGGGCTGTACCATTTCAGACTGCAATTGGGTGTGTGCGTGTGTGTGTGTAAATGACTGACTGCTCCTCCCCACAGAAAAATTCCCACTACATAGGAAAATTACATGTCAGGACATATCCCTTTTCTATGTGGATGGAATTTTTTTTTAATGGAGAAGAACTCAGTCATGTGAGGTGCCACCAGCAGTGTGAATGGTATAGCTCAGATAGAATTTTACCACGTTAGTGAGGACTAAGACAATGTTGACGTGTCACAAAATTAATGCAAAGGCAGGCATGGTGTTTAAACTGAGGACTCCCAGATTTTAACATTTCTATTCAATATTCAATTCAGAGTGAATTCACTGAACCAATCTAAGTCACTGCCTTTTCAGGATTTTACATTCTAGTTAAATAGCCTAGTTTGTTGCAGTAGAAACATTTTTGATGCATAAGCTTTTGTGAGATAGGGTCCATATCATCAGATGCACTTGTGGGCTCTAGCCCATGCAAACTCATGCCAAATAAATCTGTTTGTTTAAAGGTGTCATAAGTAGGGTTGCAAACCTCCAGCTGGGGCTTGTAGATTTCCCAATATTACAATTAACCTCCAGACTACAGAGGTCTGTTCCCCTGGAGAAAATGGCTGCTTTGGAAGGTGGACTCTATGGCATTATACCCCGCTGAGGTCCCTCCCCTCCCCTCCCCAGACTCAATACCCAAATGTTTAAGAATTTCCTAAACCGGAGTTGGCAATCTTAGTCATAAAGCTCAATTTTTGCTCTACATGTTTTTATAACTGAATAAACACCCTTGGCTTAATTTAACAAAGCTGTTATAATCAGGGTGATTTAAAAAGTGGTACATGTGGATCCCTCCCCCCAGGATACATAATGCATGCTTATGGGCAAAATCTGCATTTATTCTGCAAGAGTGACTGTGAATGTGAAACAGACGGTGATGGTTATTCTAGTAATAAATACACAGCAGATCCTAATTTCTGTTAAAGAAAATTTTCATACTTTGCTACACAGAAGATGGTCTCAGGAAAGTCATTTTTTCCAAAGATCATCTCTGGGGGGAAAAAGACACTCAGAAACTCACAGGCAACTCTGCATGTTGCTGGAATTTTGACAGGAAAATACAGAAGCTTCCTTCCCAGCAGTACAGACTAGAGTAACTGACTGGAAAATAATCCATCTTCCCAACAGTGAAAGTTAATTGTGTGATAGACTTCTAAAAGATCATTACTAACAATTCAGGAAGGACCATATACTTTATTTCAATGGTCTTAGTCCCTACCCAGTGTATGTTAAGATTGCAACCTTGGAGCCCTATCCCATGCAATCTTATTTAGAAACAAGCCCCACTGAATTCTAGAAGATGCTGCCTATATAAATTCACACAGAACATACATATATTTTATATTTAAAAGCTCATTTGAGCATGTACATCAGTCAAAATGACCACTGGCTTTTATCATGTTGGCGTTCCTTCTAGTTTGTTAAAGGAAGTTTCTGAAATAGCCAGCCTAATTATGACAGACTGGAACGAATAAAATGCAGGCAAAGGTTAGCAAGACCACAAACTGCCACTGCGTTATAGAAATGCAGACTATAATCTTGAAATTTCGCAAAAGGAACACATTTTAGAAACATCCCATTTTATAGATGGGGAATATCAGCTGCTGCTGTAATTAGAGAAGGAGTTCATGTCAGAACTGGTGTAATACCTGTGGGATTCCCTTACTATTTGTGCTATAACTCTTCCTCATGCATTACAGAAGCTGTAGCCAAAATAGGATTTATATATCAAGTATATGTTTTTAGGATAAGGTAACAACACAGAAAAAGACTAATCCTAGGCAGAGTCATGCATTGCATGCATACGTTTATGAAATCAGAGTCTAGGTGAAAGGATTTCTGATTGCAGGGCTAGGGTGACAGTTGCCTGAAGGGCAGACCGTACTGAACTAGATGAACTCATATTCTGACATGGGGATGCTTCATTCACTAGACCACTCATGTGGATTTATATTGTACTTGCTCAGTTATTGTATTTATCTTAAAACAAGTATGATACCATTATGTGCCATGGGTACTTGCAGTCATGCCCATATGGCACTCCCATGTAAGTAAATGTGTTTTCCTGGCACAGGATCTGAAATGGCCGTGAACATAAAGCTGCACCTTATACATCACTAATGTTATCACTTGCTAAAAACAATGGCTGTGTTACATGATTGAACAACCAATCATCTTGCAGAGAGCAATCTTTCCCTCTCTTGTTTCTTTTGTGTAGGCTTTGTGGCTTCCACATGTGCATTACATAGAAGAGGACTCCTACGTATTTGCCCAAAGTGTTCCCTGGAACCTTGGCCGAATTATCCCAGTGCAGTACCAATTAAATGAGTACAATCCTCCCAGTAAGCACACTTTCCTTCTGAGATTCTCACATTCGCATACCAGGTTTTTTGAGCCAGGAACAAAATCTGATGGAAATATACTTGCAGACAGCAGGTCATTCACCTTTCTGCCCTGTGAAGAAATAGAGGGCCTCACCAGCAACAGCTAAATGTCAGAACTGAAAAAGAGTCGATGTGAAAGCCTGCATTAAAAGGAATCCTAATGTGTTTTGAGTTTACAGTTTTTTTCTTCTGTGGGAATGAGAAGCAGCATTCTGGTCAGATTTGCTGCTCAATCAGCAAGCTGCAGTACCCAAGCACAACTAGTTTAAGACCTTCTTCACCCCTCCCCCACAGAAGTGCTGTCCTTCTTCAACAGATGCACGAAAGGCTGCCATTCCACATGTAACTTTTCCCAGTGTAGAGACGCAGGGATGAGGACAGTGACACAGGAATGAGCCATCAAAATAGGGAGATGCTGTAGTGCCAAGGCCAGGCAGTTCCCTTAAACCTCAAGCAGGAATCCAAACCCTCTCCAGAGTCTGGAGTCCCACCCAGGTAATGCCGGTAGGGCCACAAAAGCAACCAGAAAAGCCTTCAGCAACACCCCCCCCCAGACAAACACACCAAACAGGTATGTAACAAACTTGTTTATTTTAGGATGCAAAGCAACACTAGTACACTGTGCACAGAAAACAAAAAAAAAGTTTTTAATCTCTAATTTATCTTGGATAGTGTAGCCCCAGTTATTCACAGCAGTTCTTAAAGGACAAAAAAACCACTTGTAAATAAATAAATAAATAGGGGTAACTGAGATCCCCCCACAATTACAACTGAACTGAACAGAGATCTGTCGCCCTGGAGAAAATAGCTGCTTTGGAGGGTGAATTCTGTGGCATTATATCCAGCTGAGGCCTCTCCCTTCCTCAGACCCTGTCTTCCTCAGCCTCCACCACTAAATCTCTAGGAATTTTTCTATCTGGAGCTGGCAACCCCAAGGATCTCTGCTTCAAAGGCAAAATTAGGCCTGAAAGGGCCCTGCCCCTTCCCCCTGCCTTTTACCAACAGAACCAAGCTTGGAAAACTATGGTGCCTAGCAACAACCACTGAGGAAATCCATTTTTTAAAGCTACAGGTGCTCCTTTAATCATTTTTGGATTTTTAAAGGTGCACAGTGTAGTATTTTTAGATTTCACATTTTTCTGCAAACCTAGGACCTTTTTCAGGTTTTCAGAAAGATCTGCCCATTTACAGCTCCAGTCAACGGATTTAAGTATCCAAAGATATCTCAACTTTGCTATTAAAATATAAGATACCCTGCTTTTCCCGTAGCTCAAGACAGCTTACAAATTCAAAATACACAGAAAATAATAAAACCCCATGTAACTCGTCCCCCACCTCTCGCCTATCTGTAGGAAAGAGAGGAAACTCATGTCGAGTCCAGTAATCCTTTTTGTACATAGCCTGCTATTTGCTGGACAGTTTGCCTGTAAACTTGGACCAATTCCCTTTGTAAGTTGCTCATACAAGATAAACATCCTCACCTATTGGCAAGCATTGCTTAAGGCCCACATGTGCACTTTCACTTGCCATTACTGATGGAACGTCTCTTTGCAGATAAAGGTGACCTGGTTGAGGTTTATCTACTAGACACCGGTGTTCAGAGCAACCACAGAGAAATAGAGGGCAGGCTGTTTGTGACTGACTTTGAGAATGTCCCAGAAGAGGATGGTACTCGTTTTCATCGACAGGTATGTGGGGATGCTGATACCGGACCTCCTCTAAGGACGGTTCCGAATGCCCATCTCTGCCTTATGTATGACAGTGGGCGCGGCGTGAGTAATCTTTCCCATGTATACAGAGGGCGGATTGGCCAACGAACGCTCCTATTTCCCAGGAAGTGAGACAACACGCTAGGTTTAATGAATAAATGTTGCCTTTTACTAAGCAGTTCTCAAGCATACGAAAACAGATGCACACGCAGATTCACACAAGTTCCTTAGTTACAATAGTATATAGAAAGCAATCAGCATGGAAAATAATAAATTCAACAGACAAGGGGGATAACACAACAGGATATCGCTTATACTTATCTGAGGTCCAGGCTGAGAAGAAATCTCCTCGTAGAAGGAATGGGGAAACTTAAGTATCAGTGGATGGAATTCTAAAGCACACGCGGACTAGTCCAGCCAGCCTCGTGCGGGTTCTCGGGTCGCGACTCCCGAGAACACAGTAAGAATTACCCGCAGCACTTAAGTTGCAAGGTGGGGAAGGGATGGGTTAACCAGAGAAACAAAGGCTGTGTTTCTCTTTTTAAAAGCTTGTTTTTGGGCTTGGCTTAAGGCCAATAAACCCCTAGAAGACCGTCCCCTTTACTATGCTATAGGTTCAGGGTTGCGACGTCCTAGTTGAGGGGAAGGGGGCAATATTCAAATGATCTGCCCTAACTTCAAAGGGAAGCCATGTGGCCAGGTGTCGAAAGTCCGTTCCCTTGGCAACTTTTGACTTGCAAAGATGTGCCTGGTCCAGAAGGCAATAAAGGATGTGTTCTTTGTGATGCCAAAACCAGATAGGAAGATGGGTTACGTGGTTTCCCACAGATCAGCAATGGTGGGGAAACCTGTTGTTCTGCCAAGTTTCCAAACTGAGCGTAATGGCATTTTGTCGTCTTTGTCCTGAAGCACGCTGGGAAAGTGCAGGGAAGCACGTGCCCTGTGGCACAAGCCTTGCTCATCCAAACGCAAGCATGAGATGCCAAGCAAGCCATACAAACACACAGCAATCCCCTTATCCCATAGGCACAGATGTACAGACAATTAACAGACATAGCACCAGCACAGTACAAACAATGCAGTTACAAGCACACATGGTTACAATGCAGGTTCTGTTTCATTGTTTACAAATATAGATGGCTTTAGTTATTGTGTCCTCCTTCTATATGTTTCCTTGGGGTCATTCCTTCACAGAAAGTATGCTAGTGATGCCTAATGGCTTTTAAAAGGGGGTCTCTGATGCTCAGTATTGTGTTACTTATATGAATCCATATTTATCTACTGAAATTTCATTTGTGGATTGGGCTGGCCTTGGCATTCTCTTACCCAAAATGTTGGAATCCTCTTTCCTAGTTCCAGTCAGCATTCTCATGTGTACTTTACCTCCCTGGTCTGTTGTCTCCTCCAGTAACAGGAAGGAAAGGCCTCCAAGGGAAATAATGTAAAGTTTGCACATTGCAAAGTGATGTCCTGGGGGTACAATCTTGAATAAAATGAAACAATCATGGTGGAAATCTATGCATATGCCTTTCTCCCCTGGCATCTACCACCACTGGAGCTGGTGAAACGCTAAGCTGGTAGAGGAGTCAAGATGGTATTTTTCAAATAATAATAATTCTTACCTCCCCAAAATTTGCATCCTTAATTCAGCAACTGAGATTGAGCATTCAGTCCATTTTAATGTGGATTGTTCAATTACAAGGGAGCTTTTGTTGAAATGCCATGAATCCATATTATTTGTATTTTCACAGTGCATGAAGTCTTAAAACATCAGTAGCTTACAAATAATTTGTAATTCTTCTAATATTGGCATGGCTTACTAGGTGAAGATTTATGGGTGCTACTTAACCTGAACTTCATGTTTCATGTATATCTACCACAAAATGTAAAGACTTGCATTAGAAACAAAGTGTTTCTGACTCACTTGTTGTTGGTAATTCCTTGTAGAAATTCTGGCACACTTGTTGTTCGTAATTCCTTGTAGAAACTGACATTGCATTTAGTGATGACACAGGGCTGACATTTTTTAAAATGGGAAGCCAGAGCGACAATCTGTTAAACAAGTGTGTAGGAATTCAGTTGCTTTTTATCTGTAATGTGAGTACACACTAACATATGAAGTGAAGAGAATTCCATCATCTCTTATTATTCAGAAAATGAATGTGCTGTGTCTCCAGAGATCTGCTTGAGGTACATCTATGGTGCCTTCTCTGCATGATGCAATCTAGATCTGTGCTGAAAGCCACTGGGAGTTTTCTGAGTCTGGTGACTTCTACTGGGACCTTTTGATTGAGGGATGCCAGCCTCCAGCCAATTACAGCTCATCTCCGGACTACAGAGATCAGTTCCCTTGGAGCAAAAGGGTGCTTTGGAGGGTGCACTCTATGGCATTGTACCCCACCGAGGTCCTTGTCCTCCTCAGGCTCCGTCACCAAATCCCCAGTAATTTCCCAACCGGGATCTGGCAGCCCTACCCCCCCATCCCCCACCAGTGGCCAGGGAGGACCTGGCAACCCAATTGATCCCTGCCAAATATTGTGTATTTGACTGTGTGCCTGTGTGTGTGAGATCAAAAGAATGAGTATGTGTTGTCAGCATTTACAACATTAAAATGAAGAAAATGGGATGTTTAGCAATAGAAAGGGTGAACTGCAGGGCCTACATTCAGAGATATAGTTTAGGTGGCATTTTAAGTGCTGTTTAATAAAGGGTAGATTCAAATAAAGAAACCAGTTGTGTATATTCTTTATAATGAGAGTATCTGTTCTAGTTCTAACTGTGGCAGAATTTATTCCATTCAGTAGAATTTTCCAGTGTAGAAAGTACACATCTCTCCCTTATTATAATTGAATAGCAACGTTCTATATTGCAACATTCTAAATTTGGCCCCTTTAGTGTTAGGCCGGAAGAACTGCCACTGAGAAGACACTGGCTGGGTTGACTGGCTGCTTTGTGCAGTCCCGCCCAGCGTTCCAAGGTCATTTGCATATGGAAGCTGATTGGACTTCACTCCATTCCATACCTCAAACTCCCCCCCCCCGCAAGGCAGTTGGAATTTTCAGTTGCATAACATACCTCATAGGGGAGAGGAGAATGATGTCAGCTGCTTTGGTTACCACTGCAGGGAAAGTCCAGACAAGCTGTTGCCAGTCTCCAGGTGACAGCTGGAGAGATCTTAAAGCTTTGGTGCTACTTCAAAGTTCCCCAGGAGCCCAAAACAGAGTAGTGTTTTGGAAAATCTTTAGGAATTGTTTGGTGCATTTACGATGGGGCTCCTGGGGAACTATTGTTGCCAATCTTGGCCCAGCAGCCATCAAACCATTCTCTTCAACCCCCTGCTGTGCAGCTGACTTTCCCCTAGGGTTGCCAATCTCCAGGTGGGACCTGGAGATCTCCCACTGTTACAATTGATCTCCAGATGACAGAGATCAGTTCCCCTGGAGAAAATGGCTGCTTTGGAGGGTAGACCCTATGACATTATACCTGCTGAGTCCTCCCCCCCCGCCCAATGCTGCCCTCTACAGAATCCACCCCCCAAACCTCCAGGTATTTCCCTCCTTAGAGCTGGCAACCCTACATTCCCCTCAGTGCCTGTTGGTAGGCAACTAAGCTTGGTCCTGTCACCTACTTTGGCCTTTGGGAGAAAACACATTGGGGCCAGTCCTGATAGGATTGCCAACTCCAGATGGGAAATTCCTGGAGATTTGAGGGATGGAGCCTGAAGAGGGTGAGGTTTGAGGAGGGGTGGGACCTCAGACAGGTACACTGCCATAGACTCCACCCTCCAAACCACTCAGTCCCACATAGGAAACCATTGTTGCCAATCTCCAGGTGAGGGCTGGAGAGCACTCAGAATTACAACTGCTCTGCAGAAGGGAGGGCAGAAGTCAGCTGAAGTCAAAGGGGCAGATAATGGTAGGTTGATGGTTAGCTGGGAAGGAGATGGGGTTGCCAACTACATGCTGACAAATTCCTGGGGATTTGAGGGGTGGAGCCTGGAGAGGGTGGGGTTTGCTGAGGGGTGGGACCTCAGACAGAATGCCATAGACTACACCCTCCAAACCAGCCATTTTGTCCTGGGTAACAATTGCTGCCAATCTCCAGGTGAGGGCTACAGATCACTCACAATTACAACTGCTCTTCAGGTAGCAGAGATCAGTTCCTCTGGAGAAAACAGTGGACTCTGTCATTATACCCTGCTGAGGTCACCACAGCAAATTGACACTGTTTGCCCAAAGCCAGAGCACTGCCCCAGAGCCTCCTTCTAGATCTTGTTGTATTGCTTTCACAACGGGCTTTACTGCTAGTCTCATTTATCTCACATTTGTTTTGTTTGATTTATATTTTGCAAACCCATGTAAGTTAATGGAGCCAATCATTCCTTTGTACGTAGACTCACATGAAGAGATTTTGGGAGGTGGACTTAGCGGCTTATGATTTAGTGTATGTGGAAAACAGTGAGAAATATTATTTTACTTCCTGACAGGCCAGTAAGTGTGACAGCCATGGGACTCACTTGGCTGGAGTTATAAGTGGGAGAGATGCTGGTGTGGCCAAAGAAGCCAGTGTCCATAGCCTCCGGGTGCTGAACTGCCAGGGGAAGGGCACTGTGAGTGGCACTCTGACAGGTGAGTAGTGACAGCTCTGAAGTACAAGACCTTGACGCTGCTGCAAAAAACAGCTAAGAGTCCTTTTAGCTGCAATGAATGAGATTCACTCTAGTTGTCTTAAATTCAGCTCCTGACTTTGGGAGAGGTTTAAGAAAAAGAAAACCCTTGGCAGATTTTTGAAGGCAGCTTCTGCCATTATTCTTTCATGTAATGGAAATGGTCCTGCAAGCCACTCCTTTGTCTTGTGAAAATATGGAAGGGTTTATAAACTCGCAGCATTATAGATCATGGAAAAGCAATTAAGTCACAAGAGTAGCAGTGATGGGCTATATGGTCACTTTCCTGCACACAAATATCTATCTTGGTTTCATTGGCAGTCCATAGAATGGGGTCTGGGTTTAGTGGCCTGGCATTGCAGTTCTGGACAGTAGTCTGCATATTTCCCTCTTGTGCTATAGATGATTGAGATGTTCGTTCTGTATCATATATCAAGCTTGCCCAGTTGTTGGTTTGCCTCCGCACAACAGGTCTGGAGTTTGTTAAAAAGACGCTGGCTGCCCAGCCCTACAGTCCTCTGATTATGTTCCTCCCTTTGGCTGGTGGCTACAGCCACATCTTGAATGAAGCTTGTCGCCTGATGGTGCAGATGGGGGTGGTGATAATTGCTGCAGCAGGCAACTACAAAGAGGATGCTTGCCTATACTCACCAGCATCAGAACCAGAGGTATGTAAAGTGGTAAATGTTCCTGAGCTTGGTTCATGGGTCTCAGCTTGTGGTTCTCTAGGCCATGGCCTTGAACCCACCAGTTGGTGCCCTCTTGTTGGGTTGTGAATTCCTATAGAACTATCATTTTCTGCTACCATTTGGAAAGATATGCTGCACAGAATGCAAGCGTGCTATGCTTTCAGCCTCTCTTTACATTCATGCTGAGGAAAATGGCAAGATAGCAAGATGAGGTCACGCAGTAGTGAGGAGGATTCCTCCATGACTCTTGGCTTGTTTCTCACTATGGTGCACTTACTGGTGCTGGGCTTGTGTTTCCTGTTCCAGCTTATTCGGTCTGCTGCCCATGACCCTGGTCTTGACACCAGTGAGGTCATAACTCTGGCTCTTGCCCTTGCTGTCACATAAGTCTTGGTGTCACATGATTTCCTAATTACATGCTTGTGGCTCAGTAGGTCGCAATGCACTGTTCAAAGTTGTAAGTATGCTGCGACAAGGTAGTTTCTACACTATTAATGTTTATATACTTCTGCTCTCTTTCATGTTTATTTCAGCTCCATTTTAGATTTGTTTGTTTTCAAACCTTATAGCCCAAACCATATTGCAGTGTTCAATGGATATTCATGTTGATTGTACTTAACTTGACTTGCACTATGGAGTCTCAGTGAGAAAGGTAGACTAAATAAATAAATATATAAATAATGTGTGATGAGAGGTCAAACACCACAGATACATCTTCCATGTTGCCTCAAATACAATACTTTTCAGTGGAGGCAATTAACATTCAGCTACCAGTCAGTGTAGCTACCAGTTGTCAACTGTAGGAGAATCATGTGATATATACACATGTATGAATCAGCCCAATATTAGAGGGAATGTTGGCATTTCATGGAACTGAACAGTGTAATAGACCATTATAGCAGTTTAAAAATTTCAGCTCTATGGATTGAACGCTAATTGATTCAGTATCCACAAAAAGTTGAGAAATCACTGCCCTAGAACTGCCTTTGTATTTTCAAAGCCATGTAATCCTTTCTGTGATTATTTTTGTTATATGATAATCTTTTGTGTAAGTGTTTTGTGAACTGAATAATTCAATGTAGCTCTCATTGAGTCTGTTAAAATGAGTGTTTGAAGATAAAGATTAATTTTCTGGGTTATCAAGAGAAATCTTGGAAAATTAAAATTTGGGGTAAGAGGCAAAGCAATGGAGTATGTGTTTTGTTTCACACTTTATACACTGGGTTTTCCATCAAGCTCCCCATCCTCTGCTTGTGTTGTTCAACTTAAAATTAAGAGGCAGTCATTATTCTTTATGTGTCATTGTAGGTTATCACTGTTGGAGCCACCAATGCCCAGGATCAGCCCGCTTCCATGGGAACCTTGGGAACCAACTTTGGCCGTTGTGTAGATGTGTTTGCACCAGGAGATGATATAATTAGTGCCTCCAGTGACTGCAGTACCTGCTTCACATCACAGAGTGGAACATCCCAAGCAGCTGCACATGTAGCAGGTAAACATTTTATAAGACAATGTTAAAGGGTTCAGCTGTTTATATAATTTCCTGGGAAAAGTTTCTAGTGGCATGTACATCATTGTGTATGTCTTTGAATAATCAGTAAGTAGTATTTTCCCCCCTTCTCAACAGAAGTAGCCCCTCAGATTTACCAAAGCCAGATATTGTCTGAACAGTCAAACTGACTCACATAAAGACCCAGACGTTCCAAGAACTTGTTCCATTTCGGAATTGTCTGCACTGCTGCATTTTCACACATCACTTATAAGTTATAACTGCTCCACAGAAGATGGCTACCATGTCGAGGCTACTGGAAGCCAACTCCGCTTGGCAGTTGCTCCATGTAAGGAGCTGCTCAGCAGATCTGGTTGTGAGGAAACCTTTCATTATGTGGATTGACCCCTGAGGGGGATCCTTCAGCTACCACCAAATATGAGGAGGATGGGATTTTATAGCCTACCACTGCTATCTCCAAAATACTCAAGAATGAGGTGCCTTGCCATATAAATAAAACTTCTTTTATACCTATCACTTATACCCCACTGCTACCATTTACCAGTGAACTTGAAATATACCAGAAGAAAATCTCTCTCAAACACAAATCAGGAGATAAAATTATGATGAGAAAAGCTATGAGAAGTTGCCCTGTGGTCCCAAATGCCAACATATTATTTGGTGAAGAGCATTGGCCTGGGGGAGCCTTGGCAAGGCCAATGTGAAGTGCTGGCATAACCTTTAAGTTAGACAATATCCCTTTTGTGCCCTCTTTTCATACTGGTAGAACTTTTTCCTTTTTTCAGCCTCAGAAGGCAGCTTCATGTAAATACATCCTTATGCCTTCATTAAGCAGTTGGAAATGACAGAGAGCATGTTATGGTCGAATAGTGACATGCCTAATGGGCTGCTGGGCCTCAAGGCTGAGGGCAGTTAAGAGGTAACTGCCAACACATTTCCTTATTAAATGGTTATACATATCCTGAAGGACTCTGTGAAATATGGATATGTAAAGGAAAAAATGTGCATCTCGAGGGGGATAAGGCATTAATTATGCAGAAATAACACATCAAATCAGTCAACAGGATATCTTAGAGGAATGTAGTCCCAGATGGCTGAACAATGTTTATTTTTACTATCAACAGAAATAAAAAGTAGTATCAACAAAAGCTAAAGGTTTAGAAAGGCTGTAAGGGGAATTTTGCTGCTTGCTTCACCTTTCACAGCTCCTCCTGCTAGCCTGGAGCATTAGTGTGTGCTCCTCAGCTCACTTCAGTGGCGTTTGCTTCATATGTGGAACTTTCCCCTCCAGTGATATGGGGCATCTCTTGGGTGGGTAGGGGTGCTGTACCTCTGTGTGCATTTCAGAGCCCCTGTGCCAACGGCAAATGAGTAATGTAAAGACGTTTCTTTTATAGGGAAACTGGGTTACTTGAAAATGTTGCAAGTAGGATTGGTGCACCAGTCAAATATTCTATGAGGCCAAGAATTCCAGTATCCACAGACGGCAGCTTATTTATTTAGTTACTTGAAATACCCACCTCTAGCAGCCTGAATACCCTGACTAGCCCACTCTTGTCAGATCTTGGAAGCTAAGCAGGGTCAGCCATGGTTAGTATTTGGATGAGAGACTAAGGTTGCTATGTAGAGGAAGGCAATGGCAAACCACCTCTGCTCATCTCTTGTCTTAAAAATCCCATGATCCTGGGGTTGCCATGAATTGGTTGCAACTTGACAGTACATAGTTATTATTATCTACCGCTGGTTCACCTCTCTTCTGAACTGGGACCCAGCGCAGCTTTAGAAAAAACTTAAAACAGCAGATCATAATGAAACACTAAATTAAAACAAGAATGCATTTCTAACAATACTAATAGATGTAACAAAAAGCTTAGATAAAAGCCAGGCATGGAAACCACACTGTACACTCACCACTTGTCTGCCCTCAAAAGCCCTCTTAATAGCTCCATTTTGCAGAGTTTCCTGAAGCCCATGGAGGGTGGGTGCCTTCCTAACAAATTCAGGAAGCCATTCCATACTAGAGGGCTATCACAGAAAAAGCCTGAGAGTGAGCCGAGTGAGATCTCAGCTGCCTACATGAGGGAATGGTCAAGAAAAATCTGCTGGGATGACTGGAGTTGCTGTATGGTTCATATCAGAAGAGACAGTTCTTCAGGTATGTGGGCCCCAGGTCGTAAAGGGCTTTAAAGGTAGTAACCAGCATCTTGACTTAAACATTGAAACCAACAGACAATTGGTGTAAAGATTTCAGCATGGGAGTACTGGGCACAAAATGGCTTCAAGGACAAAGTCATCTTCAAGGACAGTCCCATGTAGCAAGTGCTACAATAATCTAGCATCAAGGTTACTGTGGCATGAAATGGAATGGCTAGATTGGCTAGAGTCCAGAAGAGGAAATAGTAAAAAAATTGCAAGTTTGTTACATTAAAAATAATTCCTTCATATCAGTTAACTAATATGTTTTTGTAATTAGAATTATTATCAAATATTTTGATGTATAAAGTATATTTTTTATCTTTCAGTCTTTTCCAAATACTTGACGTCAATGAACCAAATCTTTTTTTACCAAATGAACAAAACATTTGGTTCCCATCTTGCTACTTGTTGAAGCAGAAGACCAAGCTGAGTAGCATTCCACTTGGATGCACAATCTAATCAAGTTAAATGACTTGTTCAATTGATTTCAGTAGAAGACCTATCAGTATATACTCTCCTGTTTAATCCTAAGCAAAGTTATATTTTTCTAAGACCATTGACATCACTTGTCTTAGAAGAATGTAACTTTGTTAGGATAGTATTGCAAATCTCCCATTAAAACAAACTATTTATGTGAACTAAACTACACATTTTGCTGGACTATGTGCTGTATTTCAGTTTTCCTCTGAACATGGATGTCTGGTGAAGAAACTGCTTGACTGAAAACCAGCCAGTTGGCCTACTAACAGATCTGTTTATAAAATACTTTAGTATTGTGCATCATGAATCAAGTAGAGTGAGTAGATAAGGAGAGTGAAGAGAGAGACAGTGCCGGTATATGAGAGTTGTAGATTGGTTTCCAGAACCACAGATCAAGGATCAACCAAGAGACCGGCTCTTTGATGCCTATATTTTACTTAATACTCATAGCCTTAGATGGGCTGTACATAAAATGGAAACGACCAAATCTGTCAATAGTACTATGCTTGCTGTTTCTCGTTTTTACTATACTAAGGGCAATCAGTATATGCCCGCGGCCCTGAGGGTTTTCAACCATAAGATCAGTCCTAAACTGATGTATGGGGTTCCAATATGGATTTTGGCTATAAATGAAGATATAGAAAAAGTCCATTCCAAATTTTTACCGAAAATATTAGGCCTTCCTCCTTGTGTGTCTTATGCGGCCATCTGTCTGGAGACGAATCAGAGACTTTTGGAAATGAAAGCTTGGATTATGACATTTAAATTCTGGCTCAGGTTACATTATAGAGCTAACTGCAGTCCTCTTATTTCACAAATGCTTACAGAGTCCTCATCCTCTGCATGGTTTCTCCATATAGTGAGATCGTATGTATAGGAGTTAGTTTTAGAGACAGTCTTCTTTTGTCAGAAAGTTCAGCCTTTGGCTTGATAAAACAAAGACTCCTTGACATAGAATGCCAAGACCTGATTAGCCTGGCTTCAGATAGATGGTCCCCTTTGAAGGTAGGGTTCTCTCCCCAAGGGTTTATAGCAGAATATTTTTGCTGTTTAACCACTCCTCATTATCAAAGAGCTTTTATGTTAGGCCGTTTTAATGTGCTGCCTTTGGCTGTACTGGATGGTAGGTTCTCTAAGACTCCATATGAGGATAGACTATGTCTTTGTGGTGTTAATGAAATAGAGTCTGGAGCATATCCTTCTGCACTGTATCTTCTATTGTGATGTTCGATCATTATATCTCGAGCCTTTGTTGAGAAACCTAGGAAATCAATCTGATGAATGGAAGACATCTTATTTACTCTCACTCTTTAGTGACTATGGAATTGGTGGTCAATTTTCTGTTTTTGGCTTCCATGAGGAGGGAACGTATTATTAGGTGCATATGATATTTCCCTGCCTGTCAGTTTTGATATGATATGCCAATGAAGGTCATTGATTGATTGATACTTAGTACTGAATTCTGGAGTACTTTGGATTAATACAATAACATTACACTGAAATTTAATTTAAATTAAAGTATCATTGCTTCTGTAAAATAAATGTATTGTTATTGTTCTGTGTAACTTAATTTTTAAAACTGCAGGCTTCTGTGAACATAAGAACATAAGAGAAGCCAATGTTGGATCAGGCCAATAGCCCATCCAGTCCAACACTCTGTCACACAGTGGCCAAAAATACCAGGTGCCATCAGGAAGTCCACCAGTGGGGTCAGGACACTAGAAGCCCTCCCACTGTTGCCCACCTCTCAAGCACCAAGAATACAGTGCATCACCTGCCCCACACTGAGAGTTCCTATCGATACCTTGTAGCTAATAGCCACTGATGGGCCTCTGCTCCATATATTTTATCTAATTCCCTCTTGAAGTTGTCCATGCTTGTAGCCGCCACCACCTCCTGTGGCAGTGAATTCCATGTGTTAATCACTCTTAGGGTGAAGTACTTCCTTTTATCCATTCTAACCTGATTGCTCGGCAATTTCATTGAGTGCTCACGAGTTCTTGTATTGTGAGAAAGGGAGAAAAGTACTTCTTTCTCTACCTGCTCATTCCCACACATAATCTTATAAACCTCGATCATGTCATCTCTCAGTCATTGTTTCTCCAAGCTAAAGATCCCCAAACGTTTTAACCTTTCTTCATAGGAAAAGTGTTCCAACCCTTTTATCATTCTAGTTTCCCTTTTCTGCACTTTTTCCAAAGCCATATCCTTTTTGAGGTGTGGTGACCAGAACTGTACACAGTACTCCAAATGAGGTTGCACCATTGATTTATACAGGAGCATTATGATACTGGCTGATTTGTTTTCAATTCCCTTCCTAATAATCCCCAGCATAGCATTGGCCTTTTTTAATTAGTTGCACACTGTCTCGACATTTTCACTGAGTTATGTACTACAAGATCTCTCTCTCGGTCAGTCTCCACCAGTTCGGACCACATCAACGTATATTTATAGTTAGGATTTCTGGCTCCAATGTGCATCACTTTGCACTTGGCCACATTGAACCTCATTTGCCACGTTAACGCCCACTCGCCCATCACTAGTTGTGCCAATGGGTGCTCTACACATGACCCCCCCCCACCTGATTCTGAAGATTGGGATAGGAGCACCTAGGCTTTTAAAGGAATGCTGCTGATCGGCATTTTGGAATGGGGAATAAGGAGCTGGATGCAGGCCCCTCATTTACCATTCCTCAACAGATGATCAGCCTGAAGGGCTATGAGGCCACAATTCTGGATCCTGTATTAGCATACTGTTGGATTGGACCCCAAACATAATTTGATAGGATTTTCATTAAAATGTGTAGCAGAAAATAGATTATAACCTCAGTTTAGTTCTATATATTAGTCCTTGCCAGATAATGTGGAATATGTACCTGTTTTCATAGGCATTGCAGCCATGATCCTAAGCGCCAACCCTGCTCTGTCTGCCTCTGAGCTGAGACAGAGGCTGATCCATTTCTCCATCAAAAATCTTATCAATGAGGCCTGGTTCCCTGAAGACCAGAGGATGATCACCCCCAACAGAGTGGCTGGCATTCCCTCCAAACTTGTAGCAGGTAATTGTGCTTAATTTCTCCAGAAATAGATGATTTATGGTTTGAGGACTGGATACATTACAGAGAGATTTTTGATAGGCCTCCTGTTAGGTAGGCCCTGACCCAGATGGCCCAGGCTAGGCTGATCTCACCTTGGAAGTTAAGCAGGGTCAGCCCTGGTTAGTACTTGGATGGGAGACCACCGAGGAAGTCCAGGGTTGCTATACAGAAGCAGGCAATGGCAAACCACTTCTGAATGTCTCTTGCCTTTAAAAAGCTACAGGGTTGGCATAAATTGGCTGTTGACAGTGCTTTCCTCCGCCTCCTCCCCCACCCCCAAGAAAGACCTAAGAATGAAACCACAGATATGACAGCACACATTTGCAAGTCAGTTTTCTGGTGGTTCTCAAACCGCTTGGTTCCAGTCTAGAATGGAGCTTTTGAAGGTATGAGCAGTATTCCAGGAGGTTCAGGAGTGGAAACCTTAGTCCCAAAGAGCATGGAGTACTGCTAGATATAAATAACTACCGTTGGCCACTATCTTGCAGATGAGCAGCTGTACTGCCGCTCTGTGTGGTCATCCTTATCCGGTTCCAGTCATGCAGCAATAGCGATTGCCCACTGCAACAGCAATGAAGAAATGTTTAGCTGCTCAAGCGTATCCAAAAATGGCAAGCGACAAGGCGAGCACATTGAGGTGATGTCCTGTGGTGACATGCCACATTGTTTTGTTTTCTAGGCAAGCTCACATTTAAGTGGCAGGATACTGACATTTTCACTGCTGTGCTTTTTTAAAAAAACAGGATCATGGAGGCAGAAAGGAGTGTGTAGCTCATAATAAGCTTGGAGGGCAAGGCATTTATGCTATAGCCAGGTGTTGCATTTGGCCCAAAGCTGGCTGCCAAATTAGCACCTACACACAGACTGCAGAAGATACAGCAGTGAGAAGTGTCAGCTGCACTGAAGACAGCCGTGTTTTGACAGGTATGTGATGACTGCTCAGATGGCAGAAATTGAAGGTGGTGGTGTTACCACTTCTGAGACATCTTTTACAGATTTTTATCTAAAATTGGATACCACTGTCGTGTTCCAGCAAGGGAAATGTGGAAAAGAGCTCCCATGAATGGATCCATTTCCTGGATCAGGATCTGTGTGCATAATTATGTGCTGTGCGTATAAATCTCCTGTTAGTGTACATCTGAAGTGCTCAATCTATAATTGCCACGGATTGCTGCATGTCTGTACTGTGGTATGAATCCAGTGAAATATATCCCGATCTGCACTTCACTACGTTGCTGGCAATTTGCCTTCCCTATTGACTCATGATGCATGTACAGAAACTGCAGGGCTGCATCCACATGTCTGGATGCAGATTTTGTGCTATAGCAGTAACTTACGACTGTTGTTTTCCTGAATAGAAAAACAATGGTAATACAGCATCCAATACTACGTGGGTGCAGCCCAGGTATTTTTAATGGCAGCCCTCCCCAGACAGGTTAAGGAGCCACTACAATATACTCTTCTGGTACCAACTTAACCTTTAAAAGTGTCATGGCTTTTAATGATTGTTTTTGCTAGTGCTTCTGCCTTTTACTCAATTGTCATTCCTGACTTGTATTTTAGAATTTGGATTTTTTTGGAGTAGATTCTATGTTTTTATTGTAAGCCTCTTTGAAGTTTTTATATCACAACACTGAAATAAATTGTATATATGCTTTCGAGCAAAGGAAACCTTTACCTTATCAATGACTACATTAAAGCACCTGCATGCAGCTATCTTTGGACCAGCATTCATGTAGTTTGCAATAACTGATAATCTAAACTAAAAAAAAATGAGAACTCCCTTTAAAATTTATATAGTTTCTAAATTTCTTTGTTAGATAGTAAGAATTATTCAAGACTTTTTTTAAAAAAATACTTGTAGTACATAAAGGTGCACATTCCAGAAGTCCACAATTGTAGATGCAGATTTATTTATTGTCATGATGGATATGCAATCTAAATTGGCAGGTTGCAGCTCCTATTCTTTGGATCGAGAATTCAGTGAAAACATCAGACCTGTACTAAGGACAAAGAGCAACCATGACCAATGCATAGGTGAGGCAGATGCAACTCTGCATGCCTCATGCTGTCATGCACCTAACCTTGAGTGCAAGGTACAAGAATACTCTCCTGTGGATTTCCCAACTAAGGTATGTGGGGATCAGTCCTTTAGATGAAAGATTCCTATCCAGTTATGGAAACTTGGTGCATGGCGGGGGAGGGACTTGAAACTCTCAACTGTACCGGCTTCTAACTCTCAACTGTACCGGCTTTTGGCCCTAGTGCAGGTCACTGAGGCCAGCTCCTGAAATTAGCTTTTTGCTGGTGCTGAACTAGTATTAGAACTAAAAGTGGGGCCCTACCAAACGGCCTCAGGTACCCATGGCTGTGGTTACACTGAGTGCAGGGGGTAACAAATGAAATGGGTGGGTATTTAAGGGAACAATTGATCTCTGAGATTACCAAATACAATACACTTGATCAGTGTCTTTCCTTTATCTGGAAGAAGTTTCCCTTGTTAACAATAAATATCCCTTTCTTCTTAGGTGATGGTGACTTGTGATGATGGTTGGACTCTGACAGGATGCAATGCATATTCTCATGGTCCCAATACCTTTGGTGTGTACTCCAGAGACAACACCTGCATAATAATGAGCAGCCCACATGGCAGAAGAGCAGTGGCTGTTGGCATCTGCTGTAGGAGACAACTCTTGGATAGTGAGGATCAAAGTTCCAGTTATAAATGACACTTCTACTCTGTGTGGGACCGGTTTCAAAATTATGACATGAAACTACAGAAAACTACCCTCTAACACCACCCTGGTGAGCTTTCCACCACACCCAGTTACACCTGACATCATTCCTCACAGATGGGACCTCCAAGGCAGGTAGAAATTGAACATGCTGTCACAATTTTTTTTGAGCACCATATTAATATAAAATTTAGACCCCAACGCCATCATTATTCCCAAGTCCACTTTGAGGAGATGGTCAACCGGTTAATATCAACACAAAACATATCTTTGGACCATCAGCTTTGTCAGTGTTACTGTTATCTGCTGCACTGCTAGTAGCGTCTAGATTTTCAAAATGTGACCTGGTGGCAACTGTCACTCTTCAGCATCCGTTCATAATGTCCGAACCAGCAGGGTATCAGACTGATAATGTTCACATACCCCTCAGTTCCAATATGAACTATCCAAGTAGGCAGGTTGACTAAAGATGGTCTGGATGGATTGGGTGGGGTTTTGCTCAAAATAATGGAAACAAGCATGTACATTTAATTTTTCTGCTTCCAAATATTTCAAAAACTTTTTAGAAAGTATTTCACTGGGAACAGAGATAAAGAATAGGAACAAAATGTGGTAGCAATAGCAAAGATTTTTTGCAGAAAACTGAAACCTGGCCCCCGAAGAAGCCATTTGTAAGGGAAAGTCCTGATCATACTTTGAAAATCAGTATTTTTTTAGAGTTCTACCCATGCTATGGCTGGTTTCTTTGTTAAGCAGTACATTAGGGCACTGTACCTCTCAGACTCAACTTAGCCTGTAATCCATTTTGTGAATATTAGAATTCTCAACTTCACACCCAGGGAACTTGACAAGGTTAGCAGCACAAACTGAAAAATACAAGAGCTGCTGCACATAGATGAACAAAACCTATTGAGGCAGACTCAACATGGGTTCTGTAAGGGAAGATCTTGTCTCACTAACCTGTTAATGTTCTTTGAGGGGGTGAACAAACATGTGGACAAGGGGGATCCAATAGATATTGTTTACCTTGACTTCCAGAAAGCTTTTGATAAAGTTCCTCATCAAAGGCTCCTAAGCAAGCTCAAAAATCATGGGATAAAAGGACAAGTCCTTTTATGGATCAAAAACTGGCTAATTAATAGAAAACAGAGAGTGAGTATAAATGGGCAGTTCTCCCAGTGGAGGGGTGTAAGCAGTGGGGTACCACAGGGATCAGTACTTGGTCCACTGCTTTTTAACTTGTTCATTAATGATTTGGAGTTGGGAGTAAGCAGTGAAGTGGCTAAATTTGCGGATGATACGAAGTTGTTCAGGGTGGTGAAAACCAGTGAGGATTGTGAGGCACTCCAAAGGGATCTGTCAAAGTTGGGCGAGTGGGCGTCAACATGGCAAATGGGGTTCAATGTGGCCAAGTGCAAGGTGATGCACATTGGAGCCAAAAATCCTAACTATAAATACACGTTGATGGGGTCTGAACTGGCAGAGACAGATCAAGAGAGAGATCTTGGAGTTGTAGTAGATAACTCACTGAAAATGTCGAGACAGTGTGTGACTGCAATAAAGAAGGCCAATGCTATGCTGGGGATTATTAGGAAGGGTATTGTAAACAGATCAGCCAATATCATAATGCCGCTATATAAATCAATGGTGCGACCTCATCTGGAATACTGTGTGCAGTTCTGGTCACCACACCTTAAAAAGGATATTATAGCTTTGGAAAAAGTGCAGAAAAGAGCAACTCGAATGATAAAAGGGTTGGAACACTTTCCCTATGAGGAACGGTTAAGGCGCTTAGGGCTCTTTAGCTTGGAGAAACGACGACTGAGGGGTGACATGATTGAGGTTTATAAGATTATGCATGGGAAAGAGCAGGTAGAGAAAGAGGTACTTTTCTCCCTTTCTCACAATACAAGAACCCGTGGGCACTCCATGAAATTGCTGAGCGGTCGGGTTAGAACGGATAAAAGGAAGTACTTCTTCACCCAAAGAGTGATTAACACTTGGAATTCACTGCCACAGGAAGTGGTGGCAGCTACAAGCATGGACGGCTTCAAAAGGGAATTAGATAAGCATATGGAGCAGAGGTCCATCAGTGGCTATTAGCCACAAGGTATAGATAGGGACTCTGGGGCAAGTGATGCTCTGTCATCTTGGTGCTTGGGGGGGGTCAACAGTGGGAGGGCTTCTAATGTCCTGGCCCCACTGGTGGACCTCCTGATGGCACTGGTATTTCTGGCCACTGTGGGATACAGAGTGTTGGACTGGATGGGCCTTTGGCCTGATCCAACATTGGCATCTCTTATGTTCTTATGTTCTTATGCTGCAATTCTCAGCTAGAGAAATGATTGAAAATTTTAAAAATTTGTTTGGACGCCGACATTCCTCCAAAGTTCCATCAAGAACTCAATAATCCAGCTATAGCTTGATTGTATGTGTTCTCCTAATGCAGATTTAAATGTCTTTAACACTGCTAATTCCAAAGTGCCTTAGAAAGCTATTCCCAGGAATAGTTACCAAACTGCCTTCATTGCAAACTTAAGCCCTCTGCATTGAACAGGGACAGAATGAGCATGGCTAAATTGGTTTTGGATGCTGCAATCTTAAAACAGGGAAGCCACATCTATACAGGATGGTGTGCTTGCTCTGAGGAGAAGGGGGAAGCTCCCTTTCAGATTCTTGCAGTTGTGGAGCCCAAATTCCACTGGTAACTCTGCCAAGAAACCCACACTATAGAACAACCAATTAAGCTGCAGATCCAATCTTCAGGCCAATGTTGCATATCTGAATGAACCCAGGTAGTTTTTATCTGCAATGCTGAGTGGGGGAGGCACTACTAACTAACATCAATGAAATTAAAGATCTAGAAAAGGAGTTTCCACTGAAAAGATAGAAGGAACTATTTAAAGCCCATGAAAAGGGTTTTATTACTGGGCTCCAAGAACCCGTCCTGATGTGGGACTAGTTTAAAAAAATATCTGAAAGCACCCAAAGCTTTTAAGAACACTTCAGAGACTCAGGCAATCAAGTACTATTGATTGACCTTAAGCTGCACTTCAGATATTGTGAAGTCAAAACAAGTTAACACACTATCAGCAGTTCAGATCAATTGGTTTATGAAACCAATTAAATTTGTTTTAAGATACTTTTAAAAAGGTAGATTAGTATTATATACAACTTTTCCCTCTTCCTTTGCATCTTACATTTGCCAGTTGTTTGTGTAATCAAATCCGTAGCGGTATGCGTAATTACTATGTTAAAATATTCTAAATGGCTTTTCCCTGCTCCAAGACAGGAAGGGTACCGTGAATGACCAACAGCATGTCATATTCTATTCTATTATGTTCTGTGTTTGGATTTGCACATATAAACCTTCCTACTGTAATTCATAGCTGCTGACTGTAGAGAAAAGCTTTCCTAGTGTTGTGGATTTTACCCTTGTATCTACAAACTATTTATTCTTTTTATATAGTACATTTTATATCTTTTTTGAAAAAATAAAATTTTCTATAACCTTGTATTGGGATGCATAACAGTTGTATTCATTCAAGGCAACTTAACTATAAGGAACAGTGTATTTAGTTAAAACCTTATCAGAATGTATTTATTTACAACCAGTTGTGGTGGGTAGCGGAAAAGAGGAGGATAATCAAATGGATGGGGAATGGATCAGGGGAATGCTGTAGACAGTTTATATCTTGATTTCAGTATGGCTTTTGATAAGGTTCCACATAATATTCTTGTTGACAAATTGGTAAAATGTGGTTTGGATCTTACTACTGTTAGTTGGTTCTGTAACTGGTTGACAGAGGGCACCCAAAGAGTGCTTGTGAATGGTTCCTCATCCTCTTGGAGAGAAGTGACAAGTAGAGTGCCTCAAGGATCTGTCCTGGGACCTGTTTTGATCAACATCTTTATAAATGATTTGGATCAAGGAGCAGAGGGAATGCTTAAATTTGCAGTTGATACTATATTGGGAAGAATAGCAAATACAGTAGAAGACAGACTCAGGATAGAGGATGATCTTGACAGACTGGAAAACTGGACTAAAACAAATAAAATGAACTTCAATGGGGATAAATGTAAAGTTCTGCATTTAGGTAGGGAAAATCAAATACGTAATTATAAGATGGGGGAGACTTGTCTTGGCATTGGTATGTGCAAAAAGGATCTAGGGGTTTTAGTAGACTATACACTGAACATGAGTCAGCAGTGTGTTGCGGTAGCTAAAAAGGCAAATGTGATTTTGGGCTGTATCAACAGAAGCATAGTGTCCAGATCACGTGAAGTGATGGTATCGCTTTACTCTGCTCTGGTTAGGCCTCACCTAGAGCACTGTGTTCAGTTTTGGGCACCACAGTTTAAGAAGGATATAGACAAGCTGGAATGTGTCCAGAGGAGGGCAACAAAGCTGGTGAGGGGTCTGGAAACCAAGTTCTATGAGGAAAGGCTGAAGGAGCTGGATATGGTTAGCCTGGAAAGGAGACGACTGAGAGGTGATATGATAACCATCTTCAAGTACTTGAAGGGCGGTCATATACAGGATGGTGTGGAGTTATTTTCTGTTGCTCCAGAAGGTTGGACCAGAACCAACAGATTGAAATTAAATCCAAAGAGTTTTTGGCTAAACATTAGGAAGAACTTCCTGACAGTTAGAGCAGTTCCTCAGTGGAACAGGCTTCCTTGGGAGGTGGTGGGTTCTCCTTCTTTGGAGGTTTTTGAAATCAGAGGCTGGATGACCATCTGACAGCAATGCTGATTATTTATTTATATTTATATCCTGCCCTCCCCGCCGTGGTGGGCTCAGGGCGGCTAACAACATATGTATAAAGATATACATTAAAATTCCAATATGTATACTAAAAACAACATTGGATGAAGATTACAATAAGCAGATCATGAGAGTGAAGGCAAGAAGGGATGCATCAGTGGCCCTTTCTTACACGCTCAGGGAAATGCTGATCGTTTGGGGTCAGGAAGCAATTTTTCCCCAGGCCAGTTTGGCCAGTGATCCTGGAAGTTTTTTGTCATTTTCTGGGCATGGAACAGTGGTCACTGGGTGTGTGTGTGTTGGGGATGCATTTGTGAATTTACTGCATTGTGCAGGGGGTTGGACTAGATGACCCTGGAGATCCCTTCCAACTCTATGATTCTAATCTTTGGTACCAAAACACTTCCATGTCCAGTGGAAAGTCCAATGTTTCTCAACTTTGGAATTCATGCATTTTTATGATTCTCTCATTTCAAAGTTACATATGGCAAGAAGATCCATAACTAATAATTTTGAGGGAACTACCCAGTTAGAAAATGAAAACGACACAGGTGTGTGGACTATTATTCTGCAATATCATGCCACATTTTTATCCCACTTTTCCTCCAAGGGGGAGGGGGTTCAGGCAGCTTGCACAGCTCTTCCCTCTTCTAACAATTTCTGTGAAGTAGAATAAATGGCTCTGTCACTCACCAAACTTTTATGGCTGAGTGGGGAGTCTTCCTACTCTTAGCCTGACACACTACATGCTATAACACACTGGTCCTTCAGTAAGAAGAGCTCAAAGGTCTAGAGGATCATGGAGGAGAAATGAGCTTTGCTCCATAACCAATGGAAGCAGCATTTGATTTATGGGCACTACTGCAAAAATTGCCCATCTAATGTTCCAGCTTGCCCCATATCTATTTTGTATTTTCCATTCTGTTGGTCAGGAAACCCCCCTCAGCTGGGGGCAGGGGGAAAAAGGCAGGAGTCGTTTGTGGGGAGGAGATGGCTGACAGCAGACCCATGCTGCAGGATCTAGAACCCAGCTGCATCAGTCTTCTAAAGATGACCTGTCCCTCAATTGTCCCCATTATGTGTTTAGTTTCCTTGGAGATGAG